GCTTCCAGTCCGAATAAAAATTTATGTGAAATTAAAATCAAATCTGCTGATTTACCTATTTTGATTTACACTAAATTTCCACATATGCAAAATGCAATACCTGACAGAGGGTGTAGCTGCCATTGAAGTCAGAATAAATAAATAAATAATACATTAATAAATATTTAAGGTTAAAATATAGAGTTCATAAATACATACATTTCTAGTAACAAAGTAAAATATTAAAAGCATCATTTCATGTATATTGCTTGTTTGATATTGGGGAACGAGTCTTAATTAAGGGGGCGACCAAAAGGTTGATGGAATGTTACCTTTGAGGGTCGGTACCTGTGGTTCTGGACCAAAGTATCTGGCAGACACCTTGCTGATTCCTCTGCCTAAGCCACCAGCGATAAGGAAATTGGATAAAGTGCATAGTGCAATAAAGGACTGAAGGTTCTACTTTTCTCTCAAGGGAAAGCGGCCAAGGAGTTCTCACTGCACACTATCATGCTTCTTGTGTGATTAAAGCCAGTAACTAAAAGAACGACTTGGTTTCATGATTTCGACATGAGAGGGAATTACATAGGGTGTACGTTCATTTTAAAATGACCAAGCTTGACTTAGAGATTCTCAGAGCTGCTAGTCTGATCTTAGCCAGCATTGCTGCAGGAAATTAACTTACCAGAAAAAGACCCCATATTAGAAATCTTGAAATCACCCTTGTAGGAACATCTCTGTAGTGTAACAGTATCTTTCCAGCCTAAGCAAAAAAAAAAATAAATAATAAAAAATGAAATGCAAGTTATAACAAATTACTCAACGTTATGATCCTCCTCTTTTCAATCAAATGTACCATTACTGCAGCAGGAAAGAAAAGAAAAATACTAACCTGTAATCCAAGAAAAGCCATAAGGACAGAGTTGATGCTTCCCAAAACACCTTCTGGATCATATGGCATATGAGTTGCATAAATCACCTGTTTATTACAAAGACGGAATCAAAGTTTTTATGTTAAATATATACTAAAACTGCAATCTGCACCTATCTTAATAGTAATCTACATTTCCTTATGTGGGAGACCCCTTTGGTTAGAAACATTTAATAGAGATGCATCAATCGGAATGCTGTTATCAAATTCCCATCAGTTCCCAAAAAGCCAAATTTAAATAATATATAAAATGGCATTCAAACTATTTATTCTCCAGACATACCTTGATGGAGGACCAACACTCTGTTTTAGAAAGCAGGGTTTATAAACATACTATAAATATAAAGCAAGGTAACATAACTATAGAGTTAATGGTTAAAAGAAATGCTTCATATAGAAAAACAACAGATGACATAAAATATACAGTTTTCTTTAAAACGGCTTTTTCCCATACATTTCTGGTCTTTAAAAAGAAATTCAGTCTTCTCACAATAACAGCATCCGCAACAAAAAGTGCTGATGTCAGTGCGGGGTAGTAGAGCTTAGGTATGGTGTATTCACTAGTTTGGATTATTGAGCTTCTGATTCTGGTTGACACCTGATTTATTGATGCATATTTAATTAGGTTGATAAAAAAATACCTTTGATGAGGGAGACTGATAAATGTGGTTTTCTCCCAGAAGCCAACGGTCAATGTAACCAGCAGCTCCACCAGTACAATTCACATGAAGACCCATGTCACCAATCCCACCTGGACCCAGGTATCCTCTGCACCAACAGAAGGAAAACAACAAGAGCAAAAGACACATATATCAATGTTACAGAGAGTAAAGCCAGAGGAGTGTCATGATCCGGAATCAGTGGGTGAATTGAGTAATTCAGTGTTTTATACAGATAATAAATAATTTACAAAATTTTAATACTTTGGAATTTAACACTGTAAAACTAGGGATATATAGGGAAAAACATATATAGACCTTATTTTATCATTACACACAAAAAAGCCCATCAATCTAATTGATACATCTCACAAAAGAGCACAAGCTGACTCACGTTGGGCAGTCTGGTACAGGAAGAAGAAAAGTGAGGCAGAGCCAAATGATTTCCAGAACAACAACACAAAGCCAGGCTGGCCAGTACAGTAATACATCAAGGCCAGGAGACCACCAAGCATCCTGGAAAGGATGGAACAAAGCAGCACAGAATAAAAAATAAAGCATTAAAGATTGATGATAATTGACTAAATTTAACAAATCATGGAATATATGGAAACTTTTCAAATGTGCACCATGACATAGTTAGATACGCCAGCCACGACTCTAATGTAATTATTTAACTGCTGTTATTCTAGTCATATACTTTTGTTTAATTTTTTTTTCTTTTCTTTTTTTTGTATGCAATGTGTTTTGTCTATCTATGTAGGTATTGTTTTGTTTATTGAGGTTTTGATAAAATTTACAGCCAAGAATACATATTGTATTTATCAGTGTCATAAAAAAAAAAGATTAATGATAGAGTAAAGCTTTAGGCTGACTGTTGTGAGGATGTCCAGATGACCTCTCGCCACCAGTAAGTCCAAACTAGCAACCACCAAGTATGACCAGGCGAGGCGCTGCAGCACACCAGGGATCCTTAAGTTGTTAAACGATACTGTGGAGTAAATGAACAAAACTGTAAGAAAAGATTCATGCTTAAACAAAAAAACTGATCTAAAGGTATAGAAGCACATTTTGTAGAACTAATTCATAGAAAACCATCAATAGTGAGTGTTTTTTTATTGAAAATCAAAAAGAAATCAGGGGAGGTTTATGCTTACATGGTCCAAGGCAGTAGTTTGGGTTAACGATGAAGAGGCCAATGAGAAACAGCTGAATGCTCCTCCATAAGACTTTCCTGAGTAGGGAGGAGCGACTCTTGCCCCCCCGCAGCATGGAGTTGATGGAGAGTGCAATAGATGTGCCCATGATGAACACAAACCTGGTGGTGGGCAGAGACATACAGTCAAGGGTGAGAAAAAACTGGAAGAACCAGCGACTAAAAAAAGGCAGGAAGTGTTGGCTGAAATCCTCACGTTTAATTTAATTCATTTTATATGATGCAGATCATTTCATTGAATTTTAGGACATTTTGAACTTTTACTCAATTCTAAGAACTTCCGGCTTTAATTAAAGTAATAGAATAGAGTAGAAAATCCCTTGAATCCAATGGAGAAATTGTGGATGAAAAACAGGAAATAATAATTCCGTGATTTTATTTTTTTTTTTTTATTTCACAATGCACCAACTTATATCTCTCATTGTGCACATAATAATAGTAAAAATAAAAAATAAATTGTTCTTACCAAGGGAAAACAAGATCTGCAACTGTTAGACCTGTAACGTGAAGCGCAAAAGAAATCCGGATAAAAAAAAAATGTCTTTATAAAGATAAATTGACAAGATTATAAAAGGCTAAAAAAGAAACAAATCTAGGTTAGGCTCACCATTCCAGCTTGAATGTTTGAAGAACCAGTATCGCCCTCCTCCATAGTTCACAAACACCATAATAACCAAGGATATACTGAAAGAGATGCCAAGGATGGAGAAACTTTGATCAACTGAAGGAAGCTGACTTGAGCAGAGAGGTAAACTTAAGGTGCCCAACAGGTAAGCATACTAGCAAGAACTCCCACCCCCATAGCTTAACCAAAAACATCAACATATGTCATTTGAATCAGATAAGCATCAAAGAGAATGAAGACGTATGGTTTTATTCTTTAAAAATGAAACCTGAGATGTCATGTGCACATTTGTATTGTTTTTTCCCCAGCTTTTATTGTCATTACACTGTCACAAGTACAGAGCAACTCTCTGCATGTAACTAATCCCCGTGTGGAGCAGAGGGCTGCCTTCGTGCGGCACCTGGGGAGCAGTGCAGGGTTAAGGGTCTTTTAGATATGAAAGAAAGTAGAGCTTCACTAAGAGCTACATTAAATTGTACCCTAAAGTTTCATTGTTTATTCATCATAGATTATGACCAATTAACATCCATGTTTTTTCACAATAACGCAGCACAAAGAGACTGAGCATGATTGATGTGGTGGAAAACTATCATCCGTTATAAGTTCAAAATCAGCTACTATGACATTTATGTGCTGTGAGAATCACGCGAAGAAAAGATGACAAGTCATGCAAAAGTTGTAAATCACTTAATTCTCCTTCAGCCGAGCTGGATTAAAATATGGGGCGGGGCCTCACCCTCTGAACGTGTCCAGGGAGCGAAGCCTCCTGCTGCTGCTGGCCGGGGAAGGGAGGATGTTGTCAGTAACTAGAGCATCCATCCGAGGGGACCCCAGTTCCTGGATCGGCAGGAGAAAATTTACATGTGAACTTTTCAAAACTAAATAAAGCGCTTAAATCACAATAGACTTTTAGAAACACTTACAGAATTAATTAGCCTTTCAGCCTCCATTGACCCACTGATCCTGAGGACAAGTCCTCTCACCGCCCCGATTCTGGTCAAGAAATTACAGCCTGTTTACTCTGCAGATATTGTACGTGAAAATACCTAAAACTAGATGTCTTAAAGAAACCTTTTAACAAATAGAAACACTTCACAGACCCGCCCTACCTTAAAAGTCTAGTTCCAACTGCAAACATCAAGGCCAATCCAACAAAGATGAAAAAAGTAACCAAGATCGCTGTAAGGAAAAAGTGTGACATTAGCGTAATACATTCACTTCAACACGCCTCATTAAGAGGTTAAAAATAGTTAACCTTTGACTGTATGAACAAAGCATAATTAAGCATTTATGTGTGTGACACTCACGGATATAACTGTTTACAGGGTTGGAATTCACCATTATGGAGCAGTTAGTGTGAGAGACGTTGTTGAGATTCTTCAGCCACAGAGAGTAGTTTCCATGCTCCCCAAAGTGGAACTGGAGACTAGGAAATTAAAAATCAACCAAATAATATTCAATCAACAAGCAGATTCTTTGATTAAAACTGTTTTTTATCAATGCTTCTGTAAATACTCTGCCTAAAAACTTAATTTTACCTCTTTTTCATTTGATGATATTACAATTAGGGCTGAAACAATTAATTGGGTTAATTGTGATTAATTGATTATTCAAATAATCAACAACTAATTTAATAATTGATTAATGGTTAACAGCAGTATAGAGACTGTAAAACATGCCTTCAGCTGACAGAGAAACCTATTTAGAGCAGTAATTATACCAACATTTTGAAAAAATATATAAAAACATTTTGCATTTAGGATAAAAAAGAAGTATTTGTCTGTCTATATGATCTATCCAGATCTCCTCAAGTTTTAGTTTCACCTGGTTTCATTTCATAAAAAGTCTTCTTTAAAGAATCTTTGGCTATCCGATTATAAATCCCAAAAAATAAATCGACAGATTAATCGATTTGCAAAATAATCGTTAGTTGCAGCCCTAATTACAATTACAAATTGATACGAATCGTATTGAAATTTGTTCTGACATTAACCAACACAAATGTTTAAAAGAAATAAAGAACTGAAAAGTGTGGAGTGCATTTGCATTTCGCTTATATTACTCTAATACATCTAAGTATATTCCAGCTGTTTATTCTAAAACAAACAGCATCATAGAAACCAAAGAACACAGCAGACATGTCAGGGATAATGTGGAGTAGTTTAAAGCAGAATATGGTTAAAAAAACTGCAACAGGCTGTAAATAATTT